GTATGTTCTGTTCCTCAAACGGATACTGAAATGATACGGAGCGGAACTGTGCAGCAGTGTGCTCTTGTGGGGTGGGATGGTTGAGTGGGGGTATGGGGTATGTTCTGTCCCTCAAACGGATACTGAATTGATACGGAGCGGAACTGTGCAGTAGAGCGCGCTTGGGGGTTGGGGCGGTCGGGTGGGGGTGTGGGGCATGTTCTGTCCCTCAAACGGATACTGAATTGATGCGGAGCGGAACTGTGCAGTAGAGCGCTCTTGTGGGGTGGGATGGTTGAGTGGGGGTGTGGGGTATGTTCTGTCCCTCAAACGGATACTGAATTGATGCGGAACGGAACTGTGCAGCAGTGCGCTCTTGTGGGGTTGGGTGGTTGGGTGGGGAGTGTGAGGTACGGGGTATTAGCCAGGAATGAGTATTGTGGGAGTGCAGAAAAAATATTTGGGAGTGCAATTTTTTTGTATGTGTGTCTCAGCTGTAATATTTTAGGCCGTGCTACACATTTTTGGCCGTTTGTTTTTTTCTCTTTTGGCGGCAGGTTCCGGTGCTGGGCGTGCGGCGGGAGACGATCAACCCGTGGGAGAGGCGCGCTCCGCTCGCACCGCACCACGTCGAGAAGCTCGTTAAGAAGGGCTACAAGGTGATAGTGCAGCCGTCGAACCGACGCGCCTACCCAATGGAGGTACGCCGGGGTCAGGCAGAGGTCACACGGGGGTCGCGTGCAGGGGTCACACGGGGGTCGCGTGCCGGGGGGTCGAACTCGGACGATCCCTCGCCGGCGAGTCTCGTTCGTCGAATCTTCGCTCGCGAATCGTCCCGTAATGTTTCGAATCGTTTTCGAATTTTAACTGTTTTACGAGCGAGGGGCGGGTGGGTTCAACCTTCCCCTTGTGGGAGCGAGGAGGGTTAGATGAGACTCACACAAGGGGAGAGGGGAGGGTGGGTTCAACCTTCCCCTTGTGGGAGCGAGGAGGGTTAGATGAGACTCACACGGGGAGAGGGGAGGGTGGGTTCAACCTTCCCCTTGTGGGAGCGAGGAGGGTGAGATGAGACTCACACGGGGAGAGGGGAGGGTGGGTTCAACCTTCCCCTTGTGGGAGCGAGGAGGGTGAAATGAGACTCACACGGGGAGAGGGGAGGGTGGGTTTACCATTATCCCTTGTGGAGCGGAGGAGGGTTAAGATAGACACACACAAGAGGAAGAGGGGAGGGGTGGGTTCAAACCTTCCCTTGTGGGCCGAAGGAGGGTTAGCACTTCGCACACTCACAACACGCGCGAGCAACGCGGGAGGTGGCGT